CAAGTATTTGAGACATGGATCGATCTTGCGGTTGGCGAAAGGAACGTGTGGCTTTTAGGGACGTCTTGTTGTACTCTGCCTCTTTGTACAGATTGCGCAATTGCATCGCGATCCGCAATAGTGAGCATCTTAGACGCTAAAACGGCCACGAAGTTTTATTCTGCTTGGGACACATGGACCATTCAAACCTCTCATCAGTTTCGTTAGTTCACATGGGAAAAAGAGACACTAATTTGCTTGAACACTGCTTTTAACATCGCACAGAAGGAGAATAACGAAAGATTTGACAAAGCGTTTGAAAATCCTTTGCGGGGTGGTCTCAATTGCGCAAATCTCAGATACTTTTGTAAGTGCAGAAAACTTTTCAGCCTGGGTTCATGCGTTTGAATTCTGACGTTTTTTTTACTATTTCTTCTGTTGCAAGATATCAATAGAATTGTTGTTTACAACAAAACCAGAACTTTACCACATAATTATGTCATGATTGCCGAGTGTATAGGAAAATGAGCTTTCATTCATATCACCATAAAGGATATAGAATATAATGACATTTATCTACATCGCCATGAAGGATTTTGCTCCGGGGTAAAAACATTTGATAGAACGGTCTCCGATGGTGTACAGCAATTCAGTGACAGTTGGTGTTGTGTCTGTTCTCCACACAGTAATCTTCATCTGGAAATAAAAAAAAATATGATGCGCAGACACTGCCATATTTACTGACTTTTCCATTAACGTCTTTCCCAAAGCCTAGTCCGATAGGATTAACGTCTATTACAAAGTCTGCTTTGCTATCCATTGCACGAAAAGCTTTGGTTTTCAGCGAAAAAGACGCTAACAGCAAAGCATCCGGTGGTAGCCTAAAAAATCAGAACAGTAAAATGCAGAGCTGAACACTGGATTACCGATTATAAAGGCTGTGTAAAAGGCAGACGACCGCCGAAGATTTCATGCCGATCCTTTCCAATACGCTAACGTCATCGAAAATTAGTAGAGACGGAGCAGAGTCGGAATCGAGGAGCTGCAATATAGCGAGTCACTGTATAAGATGAAGGCGATGCCGAGGAAAGTTAGAAACATATCCAGCACATTACAGTAAGAATGCCGAG